TTCACTCATTGCCTACTATCGCCCGTGTATTTGGATGAGAAAACCTTAAGCAAACGTTGTGAGTGCAACATTAATTTCCCATAAATTACTGTGTGAAAATAAATAACATTTAAAAGCTGTTGGAATTCCTAAAATGCATTTTACCCCTTGAGAGAGATGTGACTGTGATCTGTCACATATGGTTACAACTTCTGTTTCTCAGATTAGACATTAACTTTCTTTCTTATTTATTTATTTATTTTTTTGGTTCTGTACAATGACTAGAGAGAATTAAACAATGTCAGGGACAAATACTTCCTGACTTTTTTTTCTTTTCTGAGATGGAGTTTCACTCTTTTGCCTGGGCTGGAGTGTGCAGTGGCTCAATCTTGGCTCACTGCAACCTCCCCCCACCTTGGATTCAAGTGGTTCTCCTGCCTCTGCCTCCTGAGTAGCTGGGAGTATAGGCACCCACCACCATGCCCAGCCAATTTTTTTTTTTTTTTTTTTTTTTTTTTTGAGATGGTGATTCACTTTGTTGCCCAGGCTGGAATGCAGTGGTGCAATCTCAGCTCACCACAACCTCTGCCTGCCAGGTTCAAGCGATTCTCCTGCCTCTGCCTCCCAAGTAGCTGGGATTACAGGCACACACCACCATGCCCAGGTCATTTTTGTGCTTTTAGTAGAGATGAGGTTTCACCATGTTGGTCAGGCTGGTCTCAAACTGTTGACCTCATGATCTACCCACCTCGGCCTCCCAAAGTGCTGGGATTACAGGTGTGAGCCACCGTGCTCAGCCTAATTTTTGTATTTTTAGTAGGGATGCGGTTTCACCATGTTGGCCAGGCTGGTCTCGAATTCCTGACCTCAGGTGATCCACCTGCCTCAGCCTTCAAAAGTGCTGGGATTACAGGCGTGAGCCACAATGCCTGGCTGCCTCCTGCCTTCTTAATGAAACTTGTTAAAGATTAGCTTCCCCTTTTTTGCCCTATTTTCCTTAGATCAGATGACAGAAAACTCATGACTATTGCACCCTCTGTAAAAGATGTTACATGTCCTTTTCTCTAAAATAAGCACTGCCTATAACCAAGTTCCTGGAACTATGCACCAATCTTGTATGGACAATGTAATCATGCTAAAAATGCCTCTATGTCTTCCTATGGAAATAAACCTCTAAACTTCCCTCCTTTGCAACTCTGACTGCATTCTTTTGGGGTGTTTCCAGGTGGGCCATCCTGAAACTTTGAGTGTATTGCTCTTTAAATGAGATTCTGGCCTTTTTGATTATTTCAGGTTGACAACTGTAAATTGACTAATTTTGGTAAATTTTCTGTAAATCTAACATTTGCTCTATCAGTCTGGTTACGTAAGAGGGGAATCTGTAGAACGTCTAAGTGACCCCCAGCTTCTGAAATAGCAACTTGTAAGCGTTCTCAGGACCAGAACGCTGCCAGAGGACTTCAAAGAAAAGAGGCTTATCTGTCACTGCAGATGGGGGCAGCTATAAAAAGTTAATTCTTGTCTTAGAGCAGGGACACATCTTTTGGAGGATGTGGTTTCGTGGGTTTTCTTTTTCTTGCCACAGTTGTGATAATTTCCAGGGCTCCTAACTCAACTGAAGGCTCATGGATTGAAGCATTTTTGAGAGCTTCAGATGAAGCCATTTCTGAACAAAATGCTTGAAATTAAAAACTTTCTTAGATGCATTTTGCCTTAAAACTATAGAAATACCAGGATGACATACTTTTTAAAAACTATCAAGTTAAAGGAGTTTTTCTTTTTAATTTTAAATAATAACAATATCTTGTAGTTAGTATGGTACTTTCTCCAAAAAAGATCCAAACTTCTCTGCAAGTGCTATTATTATTATTATTTTACATTATCCTTTGGGAAGCAAAAAAGGGGAACCAGTGTCACAAAGAAATGTTAGGTGCTCTGTTCAGATAACTCACAAACTCATGCCCTGAAGGCCTAACCGGAAGTAGAGCTTTGTATGTTCTATGAATAGAAAGTGAAACTCAGTTTCCTTTTTCATAAAACAAAAATTTCAGAGTAATACTGACCAAGAATGTTCATCTGGTGCAGACTGGGAGTGTGGGAGTCAAGGGCAGTGATGTGAATCCAGGAACGCCAGCATTCCACCTCCTGGCATCACCCTGGGAGACCGCTCCTCAGAGACCTGCGAAACCACAGCCGCCTGCCCCCAAATCCAGCCTGAGGAAGGATCCGGAGACAGAGATGTCCCCGCAGAATCTAGAGCTAGTTAAGTGTGAAATAGTAACACTTCTAAAATGTCAGTGTTAGACTCGAATACAGATCGGCCTTTCAGAATTCAAAGGAGACACAAAGGAAGATAGACCTTAGTTCAGTTTTAATTTCTAAGGGAACATTAGTTCCTTGGAATTAAAAACAAATAGCATCCCTACAGTGTTAGATGCATCTTTCCTTTCCAAACAAATTTTCGAAGTAAAGCTTCTTATTGTTCTACGGTTTATCAGAGATAGAGCACAGAAATTTTAGATACTTGATTTATTAATCTTTCTTTTGCTGTAATATAATTAAAAAGAGGGAAATTGTTTTTTTGGTGTTTATTTTTCCCTGTGAGTGTTTCAAAGTTTTATAGTTAATTTTTTTTTTTTTTTTAGATGGAGTCTTGCTGTGTTGCCCAGGCTGGAGTGCAATGGCTCAGTCTTGGCTCATTGCAAACTTCGCCTCCTGGATTCAAGTGATTCCCCTGCCTCAGCCTCTCAAGTAGCTGGGATTGCAGGTGCCCTTCACCACGCCAGGCAATTTTTTGTATTTTTAGTAGGGGCATGGTTTCACCATGTTGGCCAGGCTGGTCTTGAACTACTGACCTCATGATCTGCCTGCTTCAACCTCCCAAAGTCCTGGCATTACAGGCATGAGCCACTGTGCCCAGCTGGTTAATTATTTTTTTCTAATAGTTTTAAATCTACTTGTAAGTGAATACAGTTGTGAGATTTATGACAACTGTTCTTGCAGACAAATTTTATTGTGGATTTTCCTATTTTTTTTTTATTTTTTTACTTTTAAAATGTAAGTAATGGAAAATAGTAAAAATCTAAGTTGGAAATCTAGTAGTGCAGAAGTTGGCTGGCATCTGCACTGAACGGGGGACTGAGAAGGGGTCATGCAATTTCAAGCCCTGTAGACGTTCGTGTAAGACAGAAAATGTAAATGTTAGTAACAAAGAAATGTTAGAAAAAAAGTAAAAGAAAGAACAGCAAGCCCTTCTTTCCTCTTGCCAAGAGAGCAGCATCTCAGAATGCTGATCTACGTTAGACCCTGAGCCAGTAATTTATGTCAGAGCCTGAATGATGTGCAAAGTCCTCTTGATCTAGCATGCAAAAAATTAATTTTGAAGATTCTTTTGAGTCTCATTCAGATTCAGGTTCAGATTCCATGAATTATTCTGTACATCTGTGTCCCCAGACGGTGCCATCCCATTAGGGCCCCTGGTTTCACATCTCCCAGCCCCTCTGCCTGTAACTCTAACTCTGTCCTGGGCAAGGTGAAGTGGGTGCCTCAGAGCCCTGCAAATACATGGCAGAGCTGGGCTTGAACTTCACAATTCAAATCCACAGGAATTTTCATAATTCTTAGCTTCCTAAATGGCCGTACCAAATTTTGACCCTTCCATAGGTGATACATCCCTCATCCATGCACTTTAAAAACTTTTAACAATTTAACCCAAATGCCCCTGATTTGTAACAAGTGAATAGTTGTCCTCAGAATCTCCTGAATAATCTGATATTCAACAGGCACACTATTTGGAAGCAAAAAGCAGATGAATAACTTCCTTTAAAAAATAGCAATGTCCTGGAGAAGTACATGATTTATCTTATCTGATGCCTTCACTAGTATACACAGGTAACTGTCCTCTCAAGAGAGGTCATCCCCAACTATTCCCAGAACAAAGCATCATCCATATCACTTATCAATTGTTGCCTTTTGCATTCACTTATGGGGAATCTTCAAGGATGTTCACTTTAGTGTTATTTAAATCAGAGCGAAAAATTAGAGATGTTCTAGCTAAATTACATTGCAGAATAACCAAAGACGTGAGAATAGATATAATAGAATGTAACAAATGCAGATTACAGAACAGGAGGTTTTTACAGTGGGTTGCGATCTTTCTTTTTAAAAGTCCACTGTGGTGACAATCTATAGGAGAAACTTCAAAGTATTAATGGTGAATATGTCTAAGTGGTGGGATTATACATGATTTTTTTCTTTGAGTTTACGAACATCTTCTGCAATGATCCTGAACTTTTGATTCAGGTAAGAAAAGGAGATATATATATATATATATATATATATATATATATATATATATATATACACACACACACACACACACACACACACACACACGTATACACACACACACACACACACATACACATATATATAAAGGAAAAAGGAGACCAGGATGCGAGTCATCCCAGAATGGCAGAGCCTTCTGGCAAATTCAGCTCAAGGAAAGGGTCCCAATGCTGAGTGGGAATGCAGACACATCCAAGCTCCACCTCCCAGCTCAGGGGCTTGCTCACTGATGGAACCCTCTCTAAGTCTGCTTTTTCTCCCAGCCTTGAAGAGAAAAATAGTAGTGTACATGCATTTTGATCTATTTTCCAATTTTTATCTCTTCAAATACATTCAGGATAGATGAACAAACAGTTGTCACGTTCTTCCCCAAGTCACAGTCTGCTGAGAAGCCTGGTTGTTATGCTAAATGAAACCAGCTTCCAAAAACCAGGAAAACAGACAAACAAATCTAGAAGTAAAGATCTTTCCCAATTGACGACATTAAAACATTCTAAGTAATATGTCCATGGTGTGTAGAAGGGACGAACCTTGTTTGGATGGACGGCAGGTACGCTGAAATGTAAGATAAATATGGAGACTAATGACCCGTGTCTCCTAATGAGGGCACCGTTGGAGGTACCACACTGAGATAGGTTAGAGGGGAGGTGGGGTTGTCGGAGCAGAAGCCATACCTTAGTCTGGAACGTACAAAACATGTGCGTCAGAAACGGATGCTCCCAGGCCAAGGAAAGAACTCTTTTTTCTACCATCGTGCACTCGACATCATCGTCCATCAAGACCACATCTTTCTTTAAGGCCTTTATTGCGAAAAATTGATTGGTTTTCTTGAATTCTGCCAGGAAGACCTAGAAGGAAGGGGAAGAAGTAACTTAATTTTAGAAGTTGGATTCTTACTTCTTAAAAAGGAGACAAAGTCTTGAGAGAGACCTGTGTTGGATGAGAAAAGGAGTTTCTTCTCCAACCCCCATCCATCCTGGATAGGCTATTCCTGAGACAAAATGCAGCACTTCACTGGCTTCAGATATTATAGCACTGTTTCATGCCATCTTTGGACTCTTTCCAAAGGTTTCACAAAATTATTAAGCAATTGAATGGGTTTTAAAAAGTGTGCCCTGCCTGCTCAGGAACCTGAGTAAGAGTATAATAAAAATCCAGAGAGACAAATGCACAGTGAAGAAAGAAGAGTTGAGTAGCAGAGAGGAGATATTGTCTTGAAACATCACTGCAAGTGCACATAAAACCTAGCTTTATGTTTTACTCAGTTTTTCCAGGCCAAAAGAAGAATGGAGGGATATAGTTCTCCTTGTGTACTTAACAAATAAACACCGGCCTGGTGTGGTGGCTCATGCCTGTACGGCCAAGGCAGGTGGATCACTTGAGGTCAGGAGTTTGAGACCAGCCTGGTCAACATGGTAAAACACTGTCTTGACTTAAAAAAATATAAATAAATAAATAAATAAATAAATAAATAAATAAATAAATAAGCCGGGCATGGCGGTGGGTGCCTGTAGTCTCAGCTACTTGGGAGGCTGAGGTGCGGAATTGCTTGAACATGGGAGGTGGAGGTTGTGGTGAGCTGAGATTGCACCATTGCACTTCAGCATGGGCGACAGAGCGAGACTCTGTCTCAAAAGGAAAAAAAAAAAACCACCGTTTTCTCTGACAGCACAGCAAAGAATTATTCGTAGCCAAATGTATGGCACATAGTAGGTCCTAAAATGTCAATGACACTGGGTTCAAAGAATGACTTGCTCAGATTCTTGGAGCTACCAGGGAAGGATTTAACTCCAAAGTTTACTTTTCCCACTTGATTTCGTGGCCCTTACATCAAAGGACACCAACATGCGAATGACACATTTTAGGACCTACTATGCATCATGCATTCTGCTACCTGCTTTACGTTTTCAACCTACAATTTTATTATCTAATTGAATTCTTAGCTTGTCATGCTCTGCAGGACAGAAGTTAACAACAACAACAGCAACAACAAAATACTGAGTTCAAAGAATAACTTGCTGAGATTGAGATTCTCGGAGCTCCTATGGGAAGATTTAACTCCAAAGTTTACTTTTCCCACTTGATTTCGTGGCTCGTCTATCAAAGGACACCAGATGGCAGATGATGGAGGGTTTCAACAATTTTAGTTTTTGCAAATGATACAGCAACACACTGTTGGCAACTGTAAGGGCATGGCATTTGGATACAGAAAATTCTAGCTCCAGTTTTACTTCACAGACATTTACTAGCTGTAGAAATGTGGGCAGACCGATGAGGCCCCCTGGGCTTCAGTTTCCAATTACTGCATGCTCTAACTGACGGGACTGTTGTGAAAGTCAGCTCTCAAATGATCTCTGTATCACGGTTGTTAAAATTCCATCATTCATCATTTGTTTCCTTTGTTGACTTTCGGGAAAGGCTGAAGTCAGTGATGCTGCACCAGTCCTGGACATGTGAGTGTCTGAGTTTAAAACACAATGGTGCAGATTTGTGGATGGGTGGTATATGACTTGATAGAAGGGATGAAACTTAGATGAGAATCAGGCAAATGAAAGATGCTCACATCCCCAGAAAACACACAATTTGGGCCAGGCATGGTGGCTCATGCCTATAATCCCAGTGCTTTGGGAGGCCGAGGCAGGCGGATCACAAGGTCAGGAGTTCGAGACCAGCCTGGCCAACATGGTGAAACCCTGTCTCTACTGAAAATACAAAAAAATTAGTCAGGCAGGGTGGCAGGTGCCTGTAATCCCAGCTACTTGGGAGGCTGGGGCAGGAGAATCCTTTGAACCTGGGAGGCAGAGGTTGCAGTGAGTTGAGATAGCGCCACAGCATTCCAGCCTGAGCAACAGAGCAAGATTCCATCTAAAAAGAAAAAAGTAAAAGGGAAAACACACAATTTGTTTTCCTGGGCTTAAAATTAGATTGAGAACAAGGGTGTAGAGGCCTTGGTGAGGAAACATACTTTCCATATAAAGCCAGAAGAGAGAGAAAAGACAAGTTTTGGAGTGTTCTCAGTGTAGTGAGAAAGAGCAACATGACCGTCCCATCTTGCTTTGATGCCTCTCCCGACTCCTCTCCTCTCTGTGCATAGGGACCCAAGGTCCTGATGAAAAGTCATGGACGGCTTTGGACATGGAGTGGGGAAACCTGGGGCTCCCAGCTGCGCCTTGGGATACTGACCAAGGCTTGAAGTTTTAACTACATTTCTTATTAACCTTCTTCAAATGTAGAAATCCACATGGGAACAAAGAAAGACAAACATTTCATGAACAATTAAAAGTACTCTTTTAGTAACTGCTTCTTTCAGTAAAACATCCTAAAACCAGCCATAAACTAAGAAGCCGAAAAGACAATTTCCATCCATCTAATGTGCTTTCAATTTTTGGTAACAGGTTATAATTGCACATTAATTGACACTAAATTATCACGAAGACCGGCTGTAAAATTGTCTATTATGCTCAGATTAGCACCAAATGAGCCTGCTGTGTTTCGTATTATTGTGGAAATGAACAAAAAGAATTCATGAATACCAGCCACCATGTGCAACAGAGAGTAGATGTCCTGAAAGGCAAGTCACCAGTGTTTAAATCCAAACCCCAACTGGAGCACAATATTATTCAGCTGTGGCGACTGCTCAGTTGCATTTTAGTTTAATATTAGATAAACTGGGTAAGATTTCCTGCCAAAGTCTGGTGAGCAGGTGTGGTGCATAATGCTGCCTTTGGCTACACAGATTCATGGAATAGTCGTCTCTCATTAAAATGTTTGTAGGGGTCCCATCCAAGAATTTAAAACCAACAGGAGCCCTGTTAATATATGAGATATCCTTAATATCAAAAATTACCTAAAAGCCTACATTCCATATCATCCCTCCTTAAATCACTAGCTTGAAAATTTCCTGCAGTCCCTGATAGTTGGTTATAGTTTCTTAAATTGTCTCTTCTTCCTTCTCCTCACCTTCCTTTTCCCTCTCGTCCTCCTTTTCCTCTTTCCTTCCTCTCCTTGTCATCTGTGAGTGACAGAGACAACCCCCACATGCATGCATGCAGGAAGAATTTAGAGGATGGACTTTCTCCACAATTTTTTTCCGGGACTCTCAAGCTACAATTTTGTTATGGGCTTAATTGTGTCTATGCTAAAGTCCCAATCCCTAGTACCTTGGAATGTGACCGTATTTGGAGACAGGACCTTCAAAGAGGTAATTAAGATTTAATGAGGTTATTAAGGCAGGTCCTGAACCAGTATGACTGGTGTTTTCATAAGAAGAGAAAATTTAAGCCAGGTGTGGTGGCACAACTCTAATCCTTGCTACTACGGAAGTTGAGATGGGAGCATCACTTGAGTTTGAGAGGTCAAGGCCAGCCTGGGCAACATAGTGAGACCTATCTCAAAAAAAAGGACATTTAGATGCAGACGTGCACAGCAGGAAAATGGTATGAAGGCACAGAGAGAGGGTGGCCATTACAAAGCCAGGAGCGGGGCCTGGGAAGAAACAACCCAGGTGACAGCTTGATGGTGAACTTCCATCCTCCAGACCTGTGAGAACATGAATTTCTGTTGTTTAAGCCAGCCAGTATGTGATATTTTGTTATAGCAGCCTGTATTAGTCTGTTCTCATGCTGCTGATAAAGACATACTGGAGAGTGGATAATTGATAAGGGAAAGAGGTTTAATGGACTCACAGTTCTACATGGCTGGGGAGGCCTCACAATCATGGCGGAAGACACAGGAGGGGCAAAGGGATGTCTTACACGGTGGCAGGCAAGAGAGAGCACGTGCAGAGAACGCCCACTGATAAAACCATCAGCTCTCATGAGACTTATTCACTATCACGAGAACAGCATGGGAAAACCCATCCCTGTGATTCGATCACCTTCCACTGGGTCCCTCCCATGACACATGGGGATTATTACAATTCAAGGTGAGATTTGGGTGGGGACACAGAGCCAAACCCTATCACAGCCTAAGCAAACTTATACAAGTCTGAAGACATTTAATAGAGAGAGAGAAAAACAAAAAATCACATATAAAGCAAAACAACACTGTAGGCTGGAGAATGAAGCAAAAGAAGAAAGAACAAAATGAAACAATCACAAACACCGTGTGAAACAGGAAGTGGCTGAGGCACCTTTCTATTTCTTTGGTACCCAAAGACATCAAACTCATAGGCGTGTGGGGCGTATACTTTACAAGTTAAGTAGCTTTGGAGACTACAATGGGCCTAGAGTCCTTGGGGGTTCCTATTTATTTAGAGATCTCTCAGGAAAGCTCTGACACTAACACACAGTCCTGCTGGCCCCACGAGTTTAGTTTCATTAACCGGGAACTTGGCTCATCAGTTCCTGGAGTTGCTCTCCCATGCAGTAGCTTACCTTGCCAAAACTTCCTTTCCCCAACATCTTGTGCAAGATAAAATCCTCGATTTTCAGTTTCATCTGCAGAGACGGTTTTTCTATGTTCACTTCAGGTTCTGGAAGATGGCACATTTTATCCACCTCATCCAACGGAGACTCCCAGGAGATTCCCTGGGGCTCTGAAAATGGCAAGCTGGTGGTTAAAAATGAACACGGAGTAATGGAGGTCATTCCAGTTACTTAGAGCACATGCTTTCTCTTTTGCTTCCCATGCTGAGGCTCCATCATAGTAATTGGAGGTGTTTAGAGGGTCTCCTGCAGTTCAGGCAGCTTTAATACCTCTCCATTTAATACCTCTGTGGGGGCAGCACCCCCTGTCTGTGAACCCAGCATTTGGAATTTGGAGTGTGGACTGTGTCTCTTTCTCCAATAGATTGGGAAATAGTTCAACTTAAGAAACACATTCTAATCAGCAAAAGACTGTATATGCAAAATGCACAAGCACTGTTAATAATGTTAAATCAAGGACAACTAGGGATTTTGACCAAATTTCAGGAAAAAAATGATTTTCAATTGTTTGCATGGCTCACAAGCACAGTGGCATCACTTTCTACAAATTACAATGTGAGGGAAAGGAAATGAAATATAGCAAATATTTAAAGATCTGAACCGCATCATTCATCACCGAATTCAAGTCAAGATGCTGCCTATGCTAGCGGGGCATGGTGCCTCACGCTGTAATCCAATAACTTTGGGAGGCCAAGGTGGGCAGATTGCCTGAGCTCAGGTGTTGAATACCACTCTGGGTGACGTGGTGAAACCCCATCTCTACTAACATACAAAAAACTAGCTGGGTGTGGTTGTGCACGCCTGTGGTCCCAGCTACTCTGGAGGCCAAGGCAGGGGAATCCTTTGAACCCAGAAGGCAGAGGTTGCAGTGAGCTGAGATTGTGCCACTGCACTCCAGCCTGGGCCACAGAGTGAGACTCTGTCTTAAAAAAAAAGATACTGCCTATGTTGATGGTTGCTGAGATGATCTTCTTTACTGCCTGGCAACCCCTCCTGGCAATCCCTCCTAAATGTAACCCAAACCTTTCTTTTACATTTTTAAGTTGATTTTAAGTCAGAGAAAACAAAAGAAAACTTTTTTGGAATTTCTCCCTGCCTACAATATTCCCTTTACTTTTAGATCCCCAGGTTTATCTTTCACACTCTTCTTGACGTCCAAGGACAAAAGTATTTTAGAATGTATGCTGAAACTACTCAGGTCTCAGAAACAGGGGGTCATATCCACTCATGAACTACTTTCAAACAGTAGGCTGGAAAAACTGCCATAATGTCATGAAAGTGGCCTTGAGTCCTCCTCTTCCCTACCCTTAAATTTGAGTCTCAACGGTGCAGAGTAAGAACATCTTCCCACTGTCACGTTTTAAGATAGATTTATTTCTGTAAAACCATTTGACCTTGACAGAATGTAACATGCTGAAATTCTAAGAAAACATTTGCAGTTGTTCCTTCCAGACCTATCCCAATTTTCTAACCCCCACCTTCTGCCCCTTACAAAGGTAGCCTAATGTGGCTTATTTGGTTTCTTTTCTAAGAAGTGGGAACCTCTTGGTAGCTGGAGGTGGATCACCTATCAGACCAGGTAAGCTGATAACGTAAATCCAAGGGCATCAGGTTAGGGTTAATGGAGACTAATGACTGACATTGATTAGACTGCCAACCAGGACAGCTACCTCTTTTTCCCGGTGTTGGTAAACATGGCGGCCTTGCTTCATTTTTGATGGGGCATGGGAGACCAATTTCAACTGGACCTTCTCTGAAGATCTGTTCAGTATCTCTTAAGCAGCGAGCCTAGACGACAAATGGAGAATCAGACCACCCACCCATCTACCACTGATGGAACAGCTCAGCCTGCTAACCACAGGGACAAAAGCCATTTAAAATTCCTAAATGCATAGGGTCACCAAAGCTCTTCTTTTCCTCAACATTCTTTTAGAATCCCATATTCTGGGAGAGCCTATCTATTGTATTTTATGCACTGGCAGAACATATTTACCTCCCTTACACTTTTCTGGGGCTGACAGGATTCTCCCAAGCTGTCTACATCATTCCCTCACAAATAAGGACAGTGGGTCAGTGGATGGGAGAACAGCTGATTCGGGTAACGCCAAGTCTTACAGAGGGTTTGTCCTCGGATGTGGGAATTCAGCAAATGCCAAGGCAGTAAACAGCAGGGCAAAAGTTGCCCTGGACTCAGTGCTCTGTGAGGATTCTGGGGATGATACTGGAACATGAGTGTTTTTCCCCAGGCTATTCTATAACCCAAATATATTCATGTAAAGCTGTCAATGAATCCTCAGTAATTTTAATGAATTTGTATCTGCATTGCTCATGGCATGAAGAAGTTAAGATTTTATAAAGATCTGCATAATACAAATGCATTCAATAAATATCTCAAATCGGGGGTATGGGCATGGAGATGAAAGCCAAGGGCAAGGCTGGCACTCAGAAATACATCCCAGCATTTCCTGTAGAGCTGCTACAGGTGGAGGAGCGGGAGGGCATGGACATCTTTGGAGCAGCATGGCAGGAATGTGTTCACAGCTTGTGCTTCTACCTGTTGGGTGCTCTCAATCATGGCCAGCGCTTCAGCCATCAGCTTCTGGTTTATGCCACAAAGGTTGGCCACCTTCGTCTGGCATCTGTGATGTACGTTCATGCCACATGCTGGAAAGAAGAAGGTGAATGGTTAGCAAGAATGGAATAATCCCCTGGTGCTGGGCAGTGACTCTCTCTAGAGCTAAGACAGAATCTTGTGGATAGGGAGGGGAGCCTAAGGTGCCATGGCTGGAGGCATTTGGCCCTTGCTCTCCTCGTAATGATCCACATGTGGGAAGGGAAAGTGAGGAAGGAGGTGGACTCAACTCTGGAGGAGATGGGGTTCAGACACAGACCAAATTGAAGACTAGCTACAACAGGGACAAGGCAGAAGCAGCTTTCCAGAAGATGCCCCCCTGTGTGCCATGTCGGTTTACTGTTGCCATGGCAACACCCAGACGTTACCACCCTTTTTCTAGGAACTTAATGTGCATGTAGTTAAAAGTGGGTATAAATGTAATTGTTTAATTTTTCGCAGAGATGGGGGTCTCACGTTGTTGCCCAGGCTGGTCTCAAACTCCTGGGCTCAAGCCATCCTTCCACACTGGCCTCCCAAAGTGCTGGGATTATGAGTATGTTCTTGTGCCCGGCCTCAAATCTTTACTACAGAAAGGAATTTTTTATGATTGTGCTCCAAATTCCACATTGTCAGCATGACTCACATCGGCCTTATTTAGAAGGTGTTAGGTTTTAACTTGGGTAACCCAAGCTCCATTTTCTTACGCATTACTGTAACACGAAGTGATGTTGTCAGCCAGGATGGAACATACAGGGATGGGATTTTACTTTGTTCCTTAAAACTGTAGCTACATCTAGGCTTGTCTGTGACTTGCATGGCCGTGAAGAAAGGCCATTGTCATCTCCATGACAAGGTCATAAGTCTCTGTTACTAACCTGCCAGACCGTAACTCAATTTCTGGGCGGGCAACCAGCCCCTTTGGATGACTATTTTCATGGGAATTATTGTGAGGAGGGAGGGAAGGCAGGGTAAAAGGCTAAAGGAGACCCTACTAAAGACAACGGCTCATAAGGAGGCAGAATGAGAGGCCGGCCGAGGGGGAAGGAAGAGAGCTGGAGAAGAGGGTGAGGAGTCTCCAGAGAGGAGAATGCGGGCATGCGGGGTGAGCAGAGTGGAGAGGCAGGGACTGGGGGTGTCAGAGCAAAAATGGGAAACCAGGGCAGGGGAGGCAGGGGAGGACAGGGAAGAGGAGAGGGGACAAAAGAAAACGGGGAGGGGAGCACTTGAAATGAAGGTGGTAGGAGAGAGCAGGGAAGAGAATGGAAGGGAAAGAATATTCAAGGAAAGAAATGAAAGCAGGCACGAGAGCCGTGAAACAAGGCCCAGGAATCCCTGGAAGTTCTAAGCTGTGCAGCGGTGCTGCTGGGACCAGCTCTTGCACGTGGGCGTTTGGGCTCCCAGGACATGTAATCCGACCTGAGACCATCAGAGAACCAAGAGGTGAGAATTTCACTATTCCTGTTTCTGTGGATATGGCCAGGGTACTGGGACACTGTGTTTTGCCTCTGTACTCTTAATGAATTCTTAATGCCCAGCCTCTCCATGTCTTCTTAAACGAGGATGTACAGGAAAATGCGTCAGTGTCCTCTGGGGCCAGGAAGGGATTCTTGAGGCTAATGTTGGCTTCCTATGATGTCTGCTTTAGGCAGTGACTTGAAAACCTACCCATCCTGTCTCCACTGAGAGATCACTCTGGGTTCCACCAGACATGTGAGCATGATTGGGATGAAGAAGGGGGGAAGGTGGAAGACGCTGTGTTGCCTTCCATCACGTACCTCTTCACTCAAAAGAGAGGGCATACATTAGTCAGTAGCACTGATCAAAATAGGGCTGCCAAGAAAAAATAAAGTGGCTTATGTATTTCATGGTTCATCATAGAAAAAGCTCTGTGCTCACCAGTCATGGTGACTCACTCCTATAATCCCAGTCCTTTTGGAGGCTGAGGAGACAGGGTTGCTTGATCCTAGGAGTTTGGGATCAGCCTGGACAATATAGCAAGACCCTATCTCTTAAAAAAAAAATAGACAGACATGGTAACACATGCCTGTGGTTCCAGCTACTTTGGAGGCTGAGATGGGAGGATTGATTGAGCTCAGGAAGTCAAGACTGTGGTGAGCTGTAATCGAGCCACTGCATTCCAGCCTGGGCAACAAAGTCAGACCCTGTCTCAAAAAAAAAAAAAAAAAAAAAAAAAAAAAAAGAAGAAAAGGAAAAAGTAAAAGAAGAAGAAGAAAAATAAACAGTTTATATGCATCAGATGGCTCTCCTGCAGCGGCTGTATTCTCTGTGCCCTGTCCCTGTCTCATCTCAACGAGAAAGCAGAGTGCTTTGTTGGTTCTTATGGTTTTTTTTTTTTCCTTCCCTGGTCCCTAATCCTATTGTGACAGCATCTCAGCTTCTAAATGTTATTGCCTTAGCAACTTGGAGTTTCACAGCAAGAAAGCCTTGCCTTGTTTATTTCGATGATAGGTCTGAGAAACTCTATCAGTAATGAATGGTGGGTTAGACTCTGCTGTGATTCTGGCCTTTAAGGAAAGACCAGAAAACAGGCAATGGTGGTCAGAGCTGGGCCAGCCTCTTACTGGGCACTTGGAGTCCATAGCAATGGTTTAGGGATGGATGCTCAAGCGAATGTCACAGAATTTCTGTGCAGGACCGTGCGTCAGCAAAATCAATGTGCTGGGCTTGCTCCTTGATGAGATGACAGAGAGAATCTTACTGCCAGGTGCAGAGGAGGAAGGTTGGGGTACCACATGGCTATGCCTGTTGAAATTAGGATGGGGCAGCTCAGAACCCACTGAGGAAACTATTGGTAGAAAGACCAGGGAGAGGAGAAACACTGTCTTTGTTTCCTTCAGGGCTATGGTATGACAGAAGGTGATGATGGGCTAGGAGCTTTGACCTTGAACCTGAACTGCTGTACACTTTTCTGGGATGCGGGGGTGAGGGCATTGCACGTGCAAGGAAAGGAACGTAGTGGCTTATTGCAGAAGACCACACTTACAATCACGACTTGTCTGGGCTCCATCCTCCCTCCTGTTCCCCAGAAAGCTTCACTCTATCCATCCCCAGGGGGTCCAGGTCAGGCCATGCTCACCCCCCACTGGACTCACCGTCACACTTGAGCCCTTGCCGTGCCAGACCCCACAGCAGGGTCCCACAGTGCTCACAGAAGGTCGGGCTCTTGTAATTGTAGACTTTAAATCTATGTGGCATGTCAATTTTGAATCTCTCCTTGTGGAACTGAAAGAAAGGTAGAAGGTGAGACCATGTGTGTGTCCCCGGAGCCCCAACTTTTGATGTCCTTGCAGATACCTTAGCATAACTAACAGAGATCATAATAAAACACTGGCATCGTGTACGTTTTAAACCATCACTGTCACTTGTGAAGCTCTACAGTCATGCCCGAAGAAGGCAGGCAGCCCCCAGCAACTGGAGGTGAGGGGCATGCTTGCCTTCTGTACGTAGCAAGCACCTTGCAGACAGCTGAAGTCTGAGGCCCCCGCACAGACAGGCCAACAGCTCAGGAAGAGGGCACAAGAGTTATTCAAATGAGCGCTAAGGAAGCACTGCTCCCATTTAAATAGATGAAGCTTCCCTTCCTGTTTTAATATAAATACTTCCTTTTCTTTTTCAGTCCAGAATGAGTGCTTTTAACCTCTGGAAGATGTAAAAACAAAAACAAAAACAACCCCTCCCCCGACCTTTTTTTTAAAAGATGGAATCTCTCTCTGTTGCCAGGCTGGAGTGCAGTGGTGAGATCTCAGCTCACTCCAATCTCTGCCTCCTGGGTTCAAGCAGTTCTCCTGCCTCCACCTCCTGAGTAGCTGGGATTACAGGTGCACAGCACCCCACCCAGCTAATTTCTGTATTTTCAGTAGAGACAGGGTTTCACCATGTTGCCAGGATGGTCTCAATCCCCTGACCTCATGATCCACCCACCTCAGCCTCCCAAAGTTCTGGGATTACAGGCGTGAGCCACCACACCTGGCCAAAAAAATGCCTTCTTTAAAAGAAACATCTCTATGGGTTTATTAGTATTATAGCCTAATGAGAGGCAAATTTTCACTATTTGAAAATTCGTGTATCTTACATAATTTTTTTATACAAAAGTCTTCAAAAGCCTATTATTCATTCATTGAGGCGGCAAGAGGAGGGAGCAGTTCCTGCCAGGTGCGGTTAACAAATATGTCACATGCATCATCTATTACACAGGTGACGTCTCACGTAATCTCAAAATACCCCATTTGAAGTCGCTTCTATTACTATCCTCCTTTGACAGATGAGGAGATGAAGCACAGAGGTCAGAAACTTGCCCAGGTCACACAGCTCTAGTTGGGATATCTATAAGCTTGGCAGTCAGAATCAGAGCCCAGCCATTCTCTTTTCTGTCTTAAAATAAATGTGAAGGCTTAGGAGGATGGAGAGAGGTGCAAGGGAGAGGGATGCTAGTGACAGATACATTACAGAATTTTTTAAAAAACAGTTTTCCAGGCCTGGCGCGTTGGCTCATGCCTGTAATCTGAGGCTGCGGCGGGTAGATCACGAGGTCAGGAGATTGAGACGATCTTGGCCAACATGTTGAAACCCTGTGTCTCCTAAAAAATACAAAAATTAGTCAGGTGTAGTGGCAGGCGCCTGTAGTCTCAGCTACTCGGAAGGCTGAGGCAGGAGAATCCCTTGAACCCTGAAGTCAGAGGTTGCAGTGAGCCAAGAGCACACCACTGCAGTCCAGCCCGGTGATAGAGCGAGACTCTGTCTCAAACAAAAACAAAAAGTTTTCCAGAATTCAAATGAAACTCATGGCACAAACAACAACAAAACACTTGGGTAGTTGGATTCCTAGTAAAAATGTCAATATTCTTGTGCAGGATAAAATGCTTTATTTTCTAAAGGTTTATCATCTCTGCAGAAGTTTCTAATTCACCAGTTCCTTTGGGAAGGTGCACAGCAAAGAAGCCTTACTCACCAGCACAGCAATAATCTAACCTTCCCGCCAGGGCTACTGGTCAGCATTGATTCTTTAGAATGGCTGTTTAGAATTGATTAAAAAGTGCTCAGCACTTACAATAGCCATGTTCAAACAAGAAAAAAATACTTTTCAGGACTCACTTATATTCCACAGTTTAAATATGAACAATTAATAGGTCAAGGTCCAGGCTGGAAGGTGACCACTTCGAATCTTGAATGCAGACCCAAATGGCTCAAGACACCATGGCTGATGAAGACTCTGTACACGCTTTCCAATACGAAAACCAATCAGCTACACGGGGCTGGCAAACACTTGAAAGGTGGTAAGTTAGAACTGAGATGTGCTGGACGTGTAAAATAATACACACTGGAGTTTGAAGACTTTTGTATAAAAAATTATGTCAGATACACGAAATTTCAAATACTGATTACATATTGTGCTATGCAGTCATCAGAAGAGCACAGCATCTTCCATGAATCAGATACCCAGTGAGGACTCGTGGAATGAGGAAGGAAAGGGTGGGAAAGGAAGTCGAAAGATTTCATAATGACTTACAGAGTAATAGGCATTGTAGACTACAGATGGGAGGATAGGAGGGAGGGAGGGTTGAAAATTACCTATCAGGTGTAATACTCACTCTGCGGGTGGTGGGTTCACCAGAAGCCCAGACTTCCCTACTAGGTAACATATGCATATAAGAAATCTGCACTTGCTGGCCAGGAGTGGTGGCTCACACCTGTAATCCCAGCACTAATCCTGGAAGGCTGAGGCGGGTGAATAACCTGAGGTCAGGAGTTTGAGATCAGCCTGGCAAATGTGGTGAAACCCTGTCTCTGCTAAAAATACAAAAATTAGCCAGGCATGGTGGCATATGTCTGTAATCCCAGCTACTCAGGAGACTGAGGCAGGAGACTCTCAAACCCAGGTGGTGGAGGTTGCAGTAAACCAAGATCACACCACTGCACTCCAGCCTGGGTGACAGAGTGAGACTCCATCTCAAAAAAAAAAAAAAAAAAAAAAAAAAAAAAAAAAAAAAAGAAAAAAGAAAAAAAGAAATCTGCCTCCTATATACACACATTTAAAAAAATCTAAAATTCATGATGATAGGCTGCCCACATGCTAGCCCACTTTCCCTCCTCCATTACGTAAAATATAATTTGTCTTCAGATTATACCTCAAAGTTCATTCTAAAAGAAATATTTGCTTCTCAACATAAAAATTATCCCTGTTATTGTCTCTAACCTTGTAAATGCCACATTGCTGTATTTCATCACCATTTGCCTTTATTTGCTCTTTTGCTGCCTCTTCTAGCTGGGGGTGCCACAAGGATCGCTCTCATATGATTAACCTAAACTTTGCTTTCTGGCCACTTTCTATGGCATTTTTCTGGAAAAGCAGAGCCAGGAGAATTCTTCCTGGTGCTTTTCTAACTCATCTTCTGGTTTGGGTAGCTTGGTAAGAATAATTATTGAAGATAAAAGAGTATTAGGGAGAAGCATGTTCAGCGATAAATAGAAAAAGTCAAGTTCTGGTATTATTGAGAAGAGGTCATGGGCTGTAACACTCAACTTTCTGACAAAAATCACTGCACAGCACAGAGGAGTGTAAATACGCACCATGGTTTCTCGGCTATTGATAGCTGATCCTGTGCACTTTGCTATAACTTTATCAATACACTTCTTGTGAATTGCTGCGTTGCATTCTGAAAAGAAAAAATTGCAGCTTAAGATTTTCATAGGCTAAAATATAACTAAGTAAAAAGAATGATGGTAATACAACTGAAACCCTCTTACTTACGTCGGCACTGGTATCCCTGCTTGTTCAGGCCCCTGTAATAAAGCACACGCTGATTTATTTCAACGTTGGTATCCACATCAGCACCAACAGCTTTTAGGAGGTGAATGAGATCTCACAACCCCCTAAGAGTGCAGAGCAGTTTCTGATCAGCAACCCTGGTGTATCATTTGCCAAGAGTGTTAACAGAGTGTTTTTCATTTTAAGGTGCTCTTTAAAAAGGTTGACAACTAAATAAATGAGAAGCGGCTGATTTCCTTTTCATTGTTGTATTTTCCAAACAAACATAGAGAAAAAAATGTGTGAACGAAAATGCGTCACAGGCCCTTCGTAGCACATTTCCCTGTGCTAGGTTTAAAAATTCATGGCCCCACTGAACTCACAACAGATGAACAAAGACATCTGTAGCATTTTATTTCCTCTTTCTGAGCATCTGAGAATATTTGCAACTGACAAAGTCTCATATGTGGGAGCGATTCCTGAGTGACATTTATGATTAGAGAGAAAGGAGGTTCAAGTGATTAGATGAAAGCAAGTTGATGAAAACCCGCCAACTCTATTTGGCCTGTGGATACTCTGGTTAAGTGGGAGCTATGTATTAGCAGATTCTGCAGAAGCCTAAAGGGAAGAGCATCCCTTAATAGGCCAGGATGCTGAGAGCCAGAAACAGGAGTCATTTCAAGTCTCCACTCTGTTATAGCCTTAGCCTTTGCTATGTGGTTACTGAGGCTTAAACTGATCTGTGTGATGGCTGTTAAGATACCCAAGAGACTTATAAACATTTAAACCATTAGCTACAATAGCAAAGTGCTGTCTGTTGCAAAAAGTAGTACCAGCACAGTTGAGTCATTAGGTGGGGGAAGTTTTGACTATAAAACTGGAAAACTGTGCTTACAACAAAGATATCTTCCACTTCTGTTCCTTGCCACTCACCCCCAGTCGCCTCCCATTGAGGCAGAAACTAAAATCCCATGGGCATTCTTCCTGACTAGACCTGGCTTCCTTATGAACCTTCTCAATTCAGGCAAGGTTCCTGACGACGTTTAGGTAGCGCTTACTCCAGCTCACCCGCCGTGGTGGAGCATGCCAGTCTAGAGGATTAAGAAGATGCAACAAAATCCATAACTCGAAGTTTGGAGGGAGATGCCAAGTTACTGTACCAGACAAACTCGTGGCAGACAGAGCAAAATGTGGGCTGTGGGAAGAAGGTGGCGGTGAACTCGTGGCACTTGACATGGTGGACCTTTGCCTGCTTGATGGCACCCCGGCGCTGATGCAAAGCAAAGAAGCCTTCCGTCTCATATTCACTCATGTCCTTTGTGTCTACAGGAAGAGAATGGGGAAGAAGGTGAAGTTCTGCTACAGGACTCTTCCTATTCCAGCTGGCTCAGGAGGTGAGGGAGATGGGCAGGGGACCCAGGAGGACCAGCACTGAGTACCTGCAGGAACATTCCAGGTACTCATATGGTGGGTACCACCCTCGGCATCTTTCCTTAACTCTAAAACACAGATTTATCATAGGGTATATTATTAGAGGATGAAAGCCATGAAGCTGGATTGCTGTCTCAATCCTTTGCTCCTCTTTGAGTGGGCTGAGTTATCATCTTCCAGCTTCAAAACCAGAGGTTAGAACTTTCAAGGTATCTATCAATCTCTCTTCATCACTGTCAATGATGACTCAGCCCGAAAAGGCAGGAAGTGGCAAAGGCTTTCCTGTCTGTAATTCTAGAGAATCACATGGTTATTGACAGCATCTTGGGAACAGCATTTCAGAGGCACCAGGATGCTTTACAGCCGGTTGTTGTAGACAGGCTGGGTAGACAGGAGGGAGCTAACTAGAATTTTGTGTGAGGGCAAAGGAACTTTGGGACATTGTGTCCTGGTTCCTGATGTCCACAGTGATCAGACACACCTGCTACCAACCATATTTACCAATGTGGAAAAGGCCAGAAAATTAATAGCTCACTGACGTTTTTTAGTATCTAGCTAATCCTGGGCATTATCTAGTCATCAGCATCAAAGCATCAGATCCAATGTATTCATTTCACCCTGGGTTCACAAATATTGGTGAAAGTGCTTTGGATAGTCACTGTTTACACTGCCCTATACCTGGATGACATCCTTCCAAAAGGTTGAAAAACTAAGAAAGTCAAATTTTGAGAATACTCATAATGCCCTTGCTCAAGCCCAGGTCCTCAGGAAACATTAAATCACAAAGCAGTCATGGTTAAATAGCATGATGGACACTCCAGCAGGTGAGAGGGGATAACGGGAAACAGTAAAGAAATAAAAATAACCATGCTATAGCAAAAATAATACACAAATAAATGTATGAATAAACAAGGATAATGAATTTAAATCCTAGAGTTATAATTTTATAATAGCTTGCAGATTCTTGGATTATTTCTTCTATTTTGTTACAAATACAAAAAAAATGAGGTTTAGTTTAAATAGCAGGCTCATTCTATTTCACAAAGAGTGAATAATACTCAAACTAAATTGTTTCTCTTCTGGCTTAGCAGTGGGAGTAGCCTGACAATGCATTTGAGGAAAATTCTCTTCCAAGGTACCTTATTGTCCAATCCCTAGCAGTGGCTAGGCTACACTCTAAGCAGACAAAGGAGGAACTGTGTGGGTAGAAACCTCTCCCAGGAATCCAGCCACATCCCAGGACATGACTCAAGCCTTCTCTACAGTGGTCCATAGATCTGTTTAATGGCAACCCCAGACAAAGAGAATTTCCAGAAACTCTCTAACAGTTCCACAGATGGGACATAGTACTTTGCCTAATACTTTAAGGTAGGTAATTTAGGTCTTTTTACCTGGAACTAGGCTGGAAATAATAAATTACGCTTGGTAAATGAGGGGTTAAATTAAGGGTCACTGAATTAATCACCTTCTTTCACAAGTTCTGGCATAAATGTGCAGATCTATTTACAACTTGTGACTGGTATAGTAGGTCATTTGTTTATACCATGTGATTTGTTTCTATTCTGGTCCAGATGCAATAAAATAAACATAAAAATACTTTTAAATGCAGGGAATGGAAGTGAATTATTCCGGGGACCCTATACAGGTTTTTTACTGTAAAAAATATATATGTTTATACATATATTAAACATATTTTATGCATATATATCTAAACATGTTTATAAGATATATATTAAACATATTTTATACATATATATCTAAACATATACTTATAAACTATAAATATATATAGTTTATATGTATAATTTGTACATTAGACTATAATACTATATATTTTAAAAATATCAGGAATTTCCAGAAGTGAATTTATACGCTGCTCTTTCCTGTGACTTCCTTTATCCTCTGTTTCAATCGTTATTCAAAAATAAATGTAAAAACATAGAATGATTTAATTCTTTTGGTATTGACTATATTTATTTCTCTATTTACTGGTGTGAATGAACTCATTGATTGTTGTAATTTTTTTTCTTTTATACTACTAGATTCTAATATATTTATGTCATCTAATCTACCATTTGTTTGTAGTCACTCAAATCACAAGTGACTACAAACAGCTTTGAGTAAACTGCTTTGCCGAATGTGCTAAGGAAACATGAGATGATTCCTCACCCTGCATGGCTAACAGTCATGTCAGGGAGCTGTGGACAGGCAACAGCTAACCTTAAGAGGCAATATATGACGGTGTGGAACAGACTCAGAGATATGTGTACCCATATTTTTTAGGAGGTAGGAAAAGAAACGGCAAAGGAGACCAAGAAGAGGCAGCTGAAAAATTAAGATGAAACCTTGGACAGTATTGCATCAGGCAAGCCAAAAAAAAGAATGGAGTTTCCAGCACTGTCTGACAGAGAAGTATCAAGGAGATTGAAGACTAAGAAGCAGGAACCGCTTGTGAGAACTCATAATCTTGGAGAAAGCCATTTTAGCAGATTGGTTGAATTATAAGCCAGAATCCTAGGGTCTAAGAATAGAAATAGAAGGGAAGAAACAGAAAGTGATAAATACAAAATGCTTTTTAAAGGACTATGTCAGGGAAAGAAAAAAAAACACTCATGGAGGTAAAAAAGGTGAAAAAAAGGAGAGATGGTGTTCAAGATTGGGGAAGATGGATAATACAGTATGTCTTGGCAGTGAGGAGGAAATTGCAGAGAGAAGGGAGAGTTGAGGATGTCAGAGGCAAAGTGTATTGAAGAGCAGGACTGCTGGGGTGAGGGGTGTGCAACCAAGAAAGGGAGCAGCTGTCTCAGAGGCAGAGGAGCAGGAGGAGAAGGCTGCAGGAGGGAGCTACATCCTAAAGTGCAGAGACAGGCAGAAGATGGGGTATCCACCAATTGTCCTGGAGGCAAGGTCAACCTCCCAGAATCAGAGGAGAATGAGGCACCCCCAGAAACCATGGCAGATGGGAATGGTAGTAACAGCCATTGTGTGGAAATCAAAAAGAAAAGAAGGAAATTTGTAAGGGCCAAGGTGAGTCCAGCTGAACAGTTCAACAAGCATTCGTTGCATGCTTCTTACATGCCTCACCTGAAACCTGGCGACAGAGTTAAAGGAATTAATGAAATGCGCATTGACAGTGGCGGTCCTGCAAGGAGTTAAGAGTCAGAAGGAAAGACAGTGTGGCAAATGTCAGAACAGAGATATTCACAGGATGCTACGGGACCATGGAAATGAGGGAACTATACCAGCTAAGGCAGGTGGAGGTAGGTGAAGGCGAGAAGGAGGGAAGGTAGACAAGAAAGGTCCTGGCAGAGATGTTCCTGTGCTGAATTCTGAAGGACAGATAACTCCTACTACTGTGTGGAAGAAGGTATGGTTGGGAAAAGCCAAAGGTGCTCTCTCTGGGTGGAAGGGAATGAGCAAAGCTACAGAGCTAAGGTTCCTTTGTGTGTGTGTGTGTGTGTGTGTGTGTGTGTGTGTGTGTGTGCGCACGCGTGTGTGGTGGGGGGTAGGGGTCCAAAACTAGCTGGGCATTGCCAGAGTGCAGAGGGTAAAGCAGAAAAGATCAGCAGTCGCTTCCAGAAGATGTGTAGGTTTCAGATCAGTTTGAACATTTTCCTGCAGACGATTTGCAGATGCTGGAACGCTGCAGCAGGGGCAGAGGCTTGATGTGGTTGGATGGGAACTTGGTATCCTTCCTTCTAGGACCACCATAGGAGAATGGGTGGGATATGGTAGGAGGTAGTAAGGATGCAATTAGATAATGACATGGAAAAAAATATTGACTAGACAACATGAACACAAAGAACTGATGCATTCAGGGAAGGTGAAGAAAAAGGAGACAATAAAAATTACTTCCAGGTTTTGTGGAGTGAGTTATTATATAATTGAGATAGTGAGTTACAAAATAAACAGGTTAGTCATGAACATGGTATATGTAATTTTCGATAGTTTTTAATTTGGCCCCTTCAAATGTGTAAGTACAGGAAATCTAATTGGAGAGGTCTGCTAAGATGCTAGACATAGAGTCTGAACCATAGGAATGTCATCCAATAGCATCTGTTTGTAACACACTCAGCTGAATGACTTTTCCTAGCAAAGCCATGGAGAATGAGAGGGGAGAATGCAAGTTTTGGAGATCAGAACACCCATGCAAAGAGGGAACTAGTGAGAGAAGGGTGCCGAGAAAGGCTTATCATGGGAAGTGAGGTAGGGAGTTAATGTCAGAAATGGACTAATACATGGGGTAAAAGAGAGACTGGATGAAAGGCTAATACTTATTGGTTGAGAAGAAGGGCAGAATTGACAGGGGAGGAGGATGAGCTCTGGGAAAGCAAGTTCTGAGTGTGAGCCCCTGGAGGTGGAGAATTCCAAGTGATGATATATGGGGTGAAGGTTGGTTACTGAATGGAAAGAGAAGCATAGGAAGGTGTGAAATAGAAAGGGGAGCATGAGACAGCCATGGAGAATTCTGAAGCCACAGAGTAATAATAGGAGAACAGAGGAAGAAGAGAAAAACGGATCCCTGCTCAAAAACCCAACACACGGGGATTTCAAAGAGAAAGAACAAAGCAGTCTCTTATGGGAAGCTGAGCCTTTACTTCCTGGTGAGATAGAGGAGTTAAGGCTTCCATGGAAGAGAAACACGGGAGTCATGATACTATCTCGTGTTATCCAAATTTGAATTCCTCATCCCCCATTCATTTTCCTCTTCTTTCCATATCTGCCACCACTGCCACTCCTACCAAACTTCCCAGTCTAGCTATTTTAAGAGATTCTCAACATTTTTTTTCCCTTCCTTCAACTTATGTATTTAAGGAGTAATTACTATTATTATTATTATTATTTGGAGACAGGGTCATGTTCTGTTGCCCAGGCTGGAATGCAGTGGCACTATCTTGATTCACTATATCTGTGAAGTCATGGGCTCAAGTGATCCTCCTGTCTCAGCCTCCCAAGTAGCTGGGACTACAAGCATGTGTTACCACACAGAGGTAATTTTAAATTTTATAGAGACAGGGTCACTCTACATTTCCCAGGCTGGTCTTAAACTCCTGGGCTCAAGTGATCCTCCTGCCTTGGCTTCCCAAAGTGCTGGGATTACAGACATTAGCCATTGCTCTAAGCCTCATTTTTAAAGAATTATAAAACATCTCAACTGTGTACATGTAACAGGTATTCTGTAGATGTTTCACCTGCACTACTGTGAAATCTTGCTATGGCTGTATTTTCGTATAGACCCTTCCTTTAATTTTATTCCTGTAGCCACACCCCTCGACCATATTTTTATCACCTTTCCATAAGTGAAATTTTGTAGACTAATACTGTGTAATTCCTTAAGAGAAAGTACATTCTTCCCATTAGTGCAAAGCACAACCTAAGACTACACACTCCTCCGGCCCTCCAACATCTCTCCGACTCTTCGTTCTGGTTTCGGCAGGAGCCTGCTAGTCTACCTACGCTGTTTTCTCCGACGCCCTCACCCGTGGCGTATCCTTCCTCAAGCCTTCACTTTTTCCTCCTGTGAGGCCATCCCTCTTCTTTAGAAAACTCAACTCTTCCTACCCTTTAATGTGCACACTGTGGAACTTTCTGAAATGAAGGCAACACACACAGATCTCTGGGTTAATCAGTATTTGTGTGGTTTAGGTTATAATTTTATCTAATGGTTTAATCTGTACCACCTCGTCAATCTGGGTTCATGTTCCTTGAGTAGAAGAACACGTTTTGCTTTTCTGAATCCTTCAGAAGACGATTTTTTTTTTTTTTTTTTGAGACGGAGTTTCGCTCTTGTTACCCAGGCTGGAGTGCAATGGCGCGATCTCGGCTCACCGCAACCTCCGCCTCCTGGGCTCAGGCAATTCTCCTGCCTCAGCCTCCTGAGTAGCTGGGATTACAGGCACGCGCCACCACGCCCAGCTAGTTTTTTTGTATTTTTAGTAGAGACGGGGTTTCACCATGTTGACCAGGATGGTCTCGATCTCTCGACCTCGTGATCCACCCGCCTCGGCCTCCCAAAGTGCTGGGATTACAGGCTTGAGCCACCGCGCCCGGCCCAGAAGACGATTTTTATAAGCATTCTTTTTTTTTTTTTTTGAACGTATGAACCTAATTTTTACTTATTATTTTATTGTTTATTGCATTTTAGGTTTTGGGGTACATGGGAAGGACATGCAAGATTGTTGAAAAGCATTCTTAGAAGGAAGTGGCATCCTGTACTCTCCTACTCGTCAACAGGAAATTTTCTGGCTAGGTTATTCCATAACGTTGATTTTTAAATTAGGTTTTTATATACATATAAAAATTTAGAGATGGAGTGTCAATTTGGATCCAGATATTAAAAGTTTTAACTATTACAAAGTTTTGTTTTTAAAACATTTCCTAGGCTTATGTCATTATTGTTTGTGAAATATCATTGTTTTTGCCCAACTGAATTTGCTCTCATTCTAATAAAGTATTTAAGTTCCACAGGAATAGAAGGAATATCCATGGAATTGTTTTACAAAGCAGAGATCTTAAAATCATTTATCAAAAATACCTGCAATCTGATGAAGGACCCTTTTTCTTTGCTTTCTTTCCTTTCCTTTTCTTTTCTCTTTCTCCCTCCCACCCTCCCTTCCTTCTTCCCTTCCTCACTTTTTCTCTCTCTTCTCCCTTCCTTCCTTCTCTCCCTCCCTTCCTCCTTGCTCTTTCTTTCTTTTCCTCGTCCTCTCCTCCCTTCCTTCCCTTCTTTTTTGACAGAGTTTCACTCTATCATCCAGGCTGCAGTGCAGAGGTAAAATCACTGCTCATGCAACCTCGACCCCCTGGGCTCAGGCGCTCCTCCCACCTCAGCCTCACAAGTAGCTGGGACTACAGGTATGAACCACCAACTCTGGCTAATTTTTGAATTTTTTGTAGAGACTGTGTTTTGCCATGTTGCCCAGGCTGGTCTGGAACTCCTGAGCTCTAGCGATCTGCTTGCCTCGACCTCAAAAAGTACTGGGATTACAAGCATGAGCTGCCATGACCAGACAGAACCCTTATTTTCAGCTTACATTGGGTCATGCTTTAAACTAATGGGAGGAATATATTTCTTTTTTTTTTTTTTCCTAAATGGAGTTTCGCTCTTGTTACCCAGGCTGGAGTGCAGTGGCGCGATCTCGGCTCACCGCAACCTCTGCCTCCTGGGTTCAGGCAATTCTCCAGCCTCAGCCTCCTGAGTAGCTGGGATTACAGGCACGCGCCACCATGCCCAGCTAATTTTTTGTATTTTTAGTAGAGACGGGGTTTCACCATGTTGACCGGGATGGTCTCAATCTCTTGACCTCGTGATCCACCCACCTCGGCCTCCCAAAGTGCTGGGATTACAGAAGTGAGTCACCGCGCCCGGCCCCTATTTCTTTATTCAAGGAATTGAACATCATTGGCATTATTATTTAGGTCAGTACTTTCACTTTTTATGCAAATCTGGTTATTCAAATATCCTGCAATCATTTTATCTCAGCCAACTCAAAAGTTATACTATATGTACTATATATCTACAACTTCCAAGAAGAAAAAGAAATAAAATTTCAGAGTCCATTTTTCCCTTCTCAGTAATCCTTTCTTTTTAAAAATTTTATTATAGAACATTTCAAATATATGTAAAAGTTGAGCAAATACTATAATCGATTTTCAAGTATCAATCATTCAGTTTCAGCAATTATTAATTGATGGCCACTGTCTTTCAATATACTCTGCCCATCTTACACCCCAGGCCACTTGATTATTTTGAAGCAAAGCCATGGTATCATATTATTTTATCTAAAATATTTTAGTATACATCTTTAAAAGATTAGCATACCTTTAAAAAATCATAACCACAATATTGTTACCACACCTAAAAGATGAATCACCATACCTCAGTATCACCAAATATCTGGTGAGTGTTCAAGTGTTGCATGATTAGCTCATAATATTGGTTTCTCTGATGAATTTGTTTGAATTTAGACCCTGAGGAATTAAGTATGGTAAGCCCAAACTCAGAAAGCACCATACATGTATAAAGTCAAACTAACTTCTTAGTAGTAACAATAATTTAGGAAAAAATGAAATCAGTTTACTATCAGTAAGTTTACACGTCCATGCTGTGGCTTAGGATTTTATAAGTAGGGGGATTTGATTCACGCACACCGCCCTGACAGCCTGTCTGAGCACATTGTATGGGGAAATTTAACTTCTGTGGCCAAAGTCCATATGTAACATGGAACCAAAAATCTTTAGCGATGTGTTTTCTCACCTTTTCTTGTTCCTAAAAGGACTTGAGGTGACTAACTTTAAGTACTAGCGTTTTGTTACTAGTTTTATGGAGCATAGTTATCGACTTCTTACTTACTTTGTATTCTATTGATAGTACGGTAGCTTGTTATAGCACATCATTTAAACATAGATAATGTGTACACACATCACCACACATGAACGGTCTTTTGTATTTAGACTGACTTTCCAAACTAAAATAAAGACAGATGCTAAGAGCACTGGGCATATGGATTCACATCACTTAAAAACAAGCGCTGTACATATTTTGTATTTCTATGTTTTTCTGGCCCAGTTAGTGTCTTTTCAAGTCATGCCTGAGCACCTCTGAGAATTTTAAGACAATTCTGTGCTTCTCTTCTCTCCCAATTCTTTTCTATGATAATTGCAAAAGTAAAATAAGCTGCATTTGAGGAGAAGGCTATGCCCTCCTCACCCCCAAACAGAAAGAAGAAATGTCACTTGCCACTCATTTCCAGAAAGTATCTTGCATTCATTAGCATTCGGCCTTGAGGTTTCAGCTCTAACTGGTTGGGAGAAGGAGAGAAACATCAGTCAGAATGTGAAGCAAGCCCTGAGTTCAATGACATCACTGGCTACTGACGATGACGGGAGATTTCCAACACAGAATACAGTAATTGTTACTTTACACTGCACTCACGCTCACTGTCATCAGAAGACTGTAGCAACTGTGACAGCCACCTTTCTTTTCTTAAAACGTCCCAGCAATTCATTCATTTTTATTTGGAGATAAAAACTTGCATAAGGAAGAAATAAAATCCTAAAACAGATTCTATTTGGTTTTCTTGCCCTGTGATGTTGCTTATCTGAAGAACTGCCACAGGGTAGACCCAGATCTTCATCATGACAAAAGAATCACAGGCACGGGAACCGGCTTCCTTGGGGAAAAAGTTCTTTTGGAGGGAAAGATAAATCCTGCCTCTTTGAGGCTGCCTCCAGACCCCTGTCTTTCTTTCTACCTGGGATGCATGTCTAGGTTAATCAGGGCATTCAATGGGGGCGGCTTTTCTCTTTCACAGAGAGAAACTGTATGTATAGGAAAGTCTTGGATGGCCTACTAAAGAAAATTTTAATTACACTGGTCTGGGAAGGAATTTATAAATGCATATAAATAGATATTTCAGTGCCGTATTATTATGTAGAAGAGACCAGAACAAAGTGTCATTTTAAGGGTTGATGTAGGATCTCCCATAAAGTGACATAAGGAGAAGAAAAGACAAATCCAAGTCCAAGACAACCTAAGCACTGTCATTAATCTATTAAACCATCCCACAATGCCATTAACAGACCAACAAGAATAAGAAGGAAGATGACTTGAAAGTCATGATTGGTCATTACGTCCATCCGTTAGCCAGGTTAGCCAGAATAACTAAGAAATAGCAAGTAATGTCCTGTGGAACTCAGGACTGAATTTGAATCGTGGCTAAATAATTTTCTGGTTATGTGACTTTGTATAAATCACTGACACAATAGCAGTGCCTATGTCATAGCATTACTGCTATGAGAATTTTATGATAAAATAAGCTTGTACTGCTGTGACAACTGTAAATTTTCATGAGTTTCAACAGATTAATGAGAAGAACCGTGCTTTGGACATGGCATGCATGCACCATTGTTCTCTGGCTTGTGGAATAAGGAGAAAAGATGAAGGCAAAAATGGAGATGGAAAAGCCAGGGGCAAGGGGCCCATTTCCAACTGGAATGATGAAAATTGGCACCAGCTGACCACAGAGTTGGCAATATTCAGTATTTAGTAGAGATGAAGGAAATTAAACTAGTTAGCTACTGGAAAAACAGCATCCATAGAAAGTCACATTCCAGTACATTTTGGGGAGTGAATGAGAGACAGCCATAAAAACTGTCACAACCTCGGGAAAACAAAAGGCGTGTCTCAATATGGCGTTTAGCAACACGAAAGGCAAATTTGAAAAAATCATTTTCTTTAAAGAAATTAGTGTTAGAAAAGCAGAATCCAATGGAAGTAAGGGAAAATGTAAGTCCCAAACAACCTGTTGGCCCTTAAAATAAAATACAAGTAAATTAAGAAATAGCCTTAGGAAAACAAAAACAAAAACAAAAAAACCCACCAAAGCTTAAAAATGCAAAAAGTGTGCTAGTTGGTTAAATGAGCATCTGAATACCACCATGGGCTTATGTCTAAATAATCTTAGAATGCAAAGAAAAGTCTGGTAAGAATGAAATTAGCAAAATTCTAGGCAAGAAATCATATGCAGCTTGAAGAGATACAACTACAACAGCAAGCTGCCTGTCAGTGAAGACTACTTAACAAAAAGATACCTGTCCCCGACTTATCCTTTCATTAATTGAGAAGGAGACATGAATAGAATAATATTTTTAACATTGGGGGACTGATGACTCTTTTAAAAAAATAATTAGGTAGGCCAAATAAACTGGTCTTCCTCAGTTTCCCCCATTCCTGCTTCTGTCTAATAAAGTGATTAGGTTCGCTGCCACCTCCGCCTCCCGGGCTCAAACAATTCTCCTGTCTCAGCCTCCTGAGTAGCTGGGATTACAGGCACCCGCCACCCTGCCTGGCTAATTTTTATATTTTTAGTAGAGACAGGGTTTCGCCACGATGGCCAGGCTGGTCTTGATCTCCTGACCTCAGGTGAACTGCCCGCCTCAGCCTTCCAAAGTGCAGGGATTACAGGTGTGAGCCATCATGCCCGGCCCCAGGAACCCTTTCCCCAAGCCTACACACAAGTGCTGAGTAAATACTGCTCAACCAAATTACCTGGATATATCTAAGCATGGGCATGGGCACCTCTGAAAAAAAATATTGGCATATATTTGTCTCTAAAAATTAGTGACACAAGCAAAGAGTTTTATACTTTCTTAAAAAGCACTGCTTTTTTTTTAGGTCAAAAATACAAAACTGACACAAAAACCTAGTTTTTAGGCTTACATCATTCCCATTTGAAACCTGTGACTTGAAAATCTGGGAGGATTTCTTAAAATCCGAGTTCTTGAAAATATTTTGGGTGGATTTCTTAAAATCTGAGTTGAAAGTCTTTTTGGTGGATTTCTTAAAATCTGAATGACAGAAAGTAAGGAGCAGAAAGTCATGATTCTCTCTTTTGGTATAGACGATATAAACATTTGAAAACATTTTCTGAATTTCAGATCATGTAAAAGCAGTTTCTTACTGATATATTTTCCTTTATTTTGTGCCCCAGAAATTTTCATTAGAATTTTTTAATGCTTTCATTCTTTTACCTTCCTTTTAACATTTGTAAATATTTGCTACCGTGATCTAGGTTTTTAACAACTTGGAGTGCTGACATGAATTGTGTATGATGTACTTCTCAGTCAAAATAAGCTAAGTGATTTTATGACAGCTGACAAGAATTATAGAAACTGTCAAAGTATGGAGAGACAAGACTAAACATTAAATGGATCTTTGTTCTATCCTCTCACATTCTGATAGCTTTTTACTCTAAACATGTATGGACGAAGTTTAATAAAATTAAGATTTTTATATCTCAACATGTTCTGAGTCTATTGGGTTAAACAAGTAATTTCTAAGTTTAAAAGCATTTCTGCTGGCAGTTCTGCTGAAAAGAAAAAAAAACAAATAAAATAAAAGCATTAGAATTGTCATTTGATAAATCTTGATTAAGTCTTATATACATTCTTCCAAAACTGAAAAAGTGAATGAAACTGACAACTGGATTGATAGATTAAAAACTCATCCCGCAATCAAGGGGAATTTGTGATAGTTCCAAGCCTGCTTTAACAGTTTTAAATAAACAACAATTTATCATAGCCTAAGAGACTTTCTACATCTGTTTGATGTAGGCATCAAAGAGATCTGAAGATGTCAATGAATTCTACAGCCCATGAAGGATAACCATTGCCATTATTAAATCACCAGTAAGGAAGTGGCAGGGAGCCTGGTGACCCGAGGCCAGTGTAATCACACACCTTTAGACTAACATGGGAGTTCTGAGCCAGTCATCTGCTACATGCTTAGGTACATACACTTTACACAACATTACCCATATTTCTGTCTTCCCGTTGTTCTTCCTGCATCTCTCAGCCAGCGAGTAAAGCTCCACAGTGGTTTCGGAGATGAGGTCTACGTTTTTGCCTTTCACAATGATCTGCATGACTCTTCCCTTGTTGATGTGGGCATCAAAAGTGCTATCCCAAGGTGGGTACATGGTAGGCTTTTTCTGGATATACATCTGCCCATTCTCTAGGAAGAGAAAAGTATGTTCTCATTACTCCTTCAGCCAGGCCTGGAAAACAATTCAGTTCAATTCAACAGTAGCAGCTGCTCCCTCTGTCCTATAGAATTCTGCTGGGAAGACAAAAGTAGCACATAAACAATCAGACAATATGGGAAAGAATGAGACAGTCCCCAGGTCTAGATGCAAGGTGATGCCTTGAACCTTATAAGTCCAATGTAGGTAATTCAGACATCAATCTGCTCATGCCTTGGGCTGGAAATCGTTACCGAAACACCAGGTGTTTGGGTTAGGTTCTGCTCCTCACTGCACAGAAAGCCGATGACAGAGATGACGAGAATTGCCAAGGAAGAAGGCTTTAACAGGGTGCTGCAACTGAGGAGAGGAGAGCTCCGTCTGAAATCCATCTTCCTGACCGACTAAAATTAGGGATTTATATAGCAGGGAAGAAATGTAACTTTGTATGAGAAAACAGAAACAGGAGGGGTGAGGAAGCAATCATGATGAGCCAGGGGCTGGCGCTTCAGTCTCTGGATGCCATGATCTAGTGAGTTTCAGTTCCCTAATATTTTCTGAGAGGCGTGGGGATCCTTTCCTGAGGAAGAAACTCAGATAAAACAAATGTAAGTTTTAAGCTTTAAGACCGGAAGGGTCCTTTTCTATAATCATTCAAAACCAACTGTCAATGGGACTACTGGTTTGCTTTCCAAATGTTCTTTTCCTATTCCACAGTTAGTTGATTTACTTTGGGTGTAAACACCTGAGCAGCTAACTTGAAAAAAACCTGTCATGCCTTTGAAATCCTCCTTTGTTCATCTATGAAGTGTCGATCCTATGACTGCTTTCCTTCACTGGCCCATAGTCAATGCAAAACTACTGTGTGTTCATCTGAAAGACAAAGTGGCATAATTTAAGCACCTAATGAACGCTCCTTTAAGAAATATTTAAAATTTTTTCCATTTGACATAAATACACTAAAAGGCAATAACGAGCCATTATTTCCTTCTCTAATTCTTGGATGAAGATACATTTGACATGTATCATGCACCTTCAGCAAAAGCTGATAAACAACTCAGAGAGGTGGTGCTGGTCTTCACCCATGGAGCCAGCGAGGCTGAAGCAGACTGCAAACCTGCAAGTGAGGAAAGGCAGGCAGGAGACCTGGAAATGCTAAGAATCTGCAGAGGGGAAGGTCGGTTTAGGGGAAACCTCCCTAAAGCTACTCAGTGATTGGCAAAGAGTTTACTAATTAATGCGTTTTTCCTGTCTTTCATGCACATTGGATTTTCTCTGGTATTTATTGTTTAATCATTTCAGAAGCAGAAACCCACATTTGAGTGTTTGTTTCTTGTGATATAAGCACATTAAGTGGCAGATTTAACAGTTCAGAGATGTCGATTAAGCAAAAGGGGAAAATCTGCTTAAAGTCAGGAAATAAAGCCTTTCTAACTTTCGAGGGCCCCTCTATCCAACATACAAAGCTAAACAGAGCAGGCGTTTAGCATTTGTTAAATTAATATTTATTTTGGGGGTATACAAGGAGTTAAATAAGCTTGAAACTCAAATGTTAGGTAAACTCGGCTAGGAAAGATATAAACCATGAGACTACTAAAGGTGGAATAGAAAGGGGAAATTTTTTATGGGTTGGTTAAAAAAAATTTGGACTGGCGATTGGGCTTTTTAGAAACCAGTGGCAATATCAATGATCATGGTCACATTTTACTTCCACAGACCTGAAGCTCCCTTTTCTGATCATTCCTTTTGACTATAATCATTCTCTGTGCCTGGAGAAAAGGGCCAAAGATCCCCAGAGAAGGGGCAAAAATTCGTGAAGCAAGGTATTTTTTACATTTTCATTCACCAGGTTTGTAATCACCTACACAGAGGACCCCATCTATCTAGAATGTTACCATTTCCAATGACTCACAGCCCCACTGCCCTGTGGCCTGTTTGTCCCTGTTCTGTTGGCTTAGTATAGAAAATGCAGCCTTCCACCCCAAGAAATAAAACGTGTTTAAATTCTGTAGAAGTAAATATTGAATGATAATATTCAGAGTGACTTCTTTTCAGAACAAACCCCAAAGAAAATCAAAAGCAAAAATCTCTAAACTCCCTCCAACTCCACAGGCTAATATTTAGGAAAACCAGTTTCCTTCTTTGACAAGGTCTCTTGATCCCCATGGCTGATTAGACCAAGTTCAAAGGCAAGGGCAAAAGCAAAAGAAGGGGGGGAAAGGCCCTCAGGAGGCAAATGTCAGGGAGACCTGAGACGGTAAAGAGAATTGGATCCAGGAGACCCATTAAGTCAAAAGCGGCTTTGAAAAACTCAGACATTTTACACTTCAAAGATGTCTGTGACATTTGAAAGGTTTTAGGTTGGGAGCAAGTGGCATTCACACTTTTAACTAAACAGGAGAGAACTCTGGGCAGAAAGGAAATCAAGATGATTCAGACAGTCTCCCCGGCTTTGATGTGTTCAGAGTGGCTGGAAGGATGAAGTCAGCTGTGAAGCAGTCTTCTGGTTGGAGTGCAAAATAGTAGGTTTGGGAATCCCACAATCTGAATTGTGAGCATCTAGCAGGAGGTTCCCAACATCTGCGTCAGTTTCTTCTTGCATCTGCAAATGTCCCTGTTCACAGGCCTTTGTAGGACAACCCTTTATAAAATAACACACTTCTCTGCCCACAGTTCCTCTCTTTCCGTTACACTGCTTTTTGTTTATATTTTTGTTTACTGTCACCTTCTTCTGCAAGAATAGATGCTCTAAAGGGAAGGAAGTCTTCCTGAGTTTTCAGCTTCTTTGGCTGACTTTTTCCCCCTCTGTGCTCTGGCCCTAGCCTTCTTGCAGTGGTCTGCCCATAAACACTTTTGCCTAAGTGAAGTGTGATGGCTTCCATAGTTACTGCAAACCTGCATCCACCGTCATTCTCTACAAAGTGTCTGCTAAAGTCAAAATGCATGTAGGAAACCAAGAAAAGCTATGCAGCCCAGACAGCTGTGGAATGTCGTCTCCCTCCTACTCTTCCCTTGGAAATCCATGACAAACTTACAATGCAGAGGTGAGGATCTCAGAGAGTGGAAGCCGACTGTCGTGACCACAGAGAGATTCCCTACATGTAAGACTGCTGGAATGGAACATTCTGAACCCACAAATGGGACGCTGGGTGGCTGTCCCACTCCCCCCCATCCCCCCCCACCGGCTCGAGCTACCTGTAAATATTTTAAACTTGAAACATCATTATTCTGTTATTCAGCCAAGACCTTAGTAAGTGCAAAAGTACGTGTTCTGAAATTTGGATTCTAATGGCTAATTATAGATGCTTTGTAATATCCACTGCAGCTTTGTCAAAGCAGCAGTAAGCAGACTTTAGAGTTGGTTGGAAGATTATACAGTCTTAATCTAGCTAGACTTACTTAACGTAACCAGGCTTAACCACATAGGGCCATGTTCTACTTCAGCTCATTCGAGTTCCTTCCTATTAACCCCTTACGTAATTTCCTCAACCCAATTTTCTCTTTGTATAAGCGGGAAAAATGACACAGTGAAATAGAGCCACCAGTGGGCCATTGGGTCCTGGTTTAGAGTCCATCATGAAATGTGTGTCCTCAAGGAAGTCCTTGGCTTTGTTGGGCCTCAGTGTCCTAAACGGCAGGATTGGGTTCAATCAGATGATGTCACATGTCCTGGAAGACTTTGCTTCATACCTAGTTCATAGCAGGATGCTCCTCCTCCTCCTCCCCTGCTTTAAAAACCCACTCAAGCTTACCTGATTCGACATACTCTTTGACGAGCACAGCACAGTAAGGGTTAACAGCCTCGCCCTGACAAGACTGGCAGGACCCACAGTCAAAGTTGGACAAGCCAATCCGAAGAAATGGCGACATGGTTGCACCCTGGAAAACAACAAAAGACAAATGCTGCTTGGGGGCTCTGAGAGACAGTATTTTTGGTGCCCCATGTCCAGTTAGCCAATGCTTTATCGCGGACAGCCAGAATCTCCAATGGGTCCACTATCCATCTGAACGAATGCTTTCACTTCCCCTTCTGCAGAGGACACTGCTGGACTCACCCCAAACCACACACTGACTTGCCGAGGGGAGCGGCTTTCTGGAAGTCTGCACTCAACCTCGTCAGTGAGAACGAACTCAAGAGTTAATTCTACCCAACCTAAGGGAGTGAGGCCTAGTGGTGGCAGAGTGAGGCCAAAGTTTTCCAACGTTTTATGTCTTCTGTTATTCAAGTAGGTGCCCAGGAAACAGCACACAGTGATCAGAAAATGAGTTTATAAAGAGCGAGTCTATTTTAGTCACGCTAGTTAAATATGACACCGCAAAATTCTTACACGGTCTATTTATGTGTGTAATGGGATTGGCCCACGGCATTCAGCAGCTGATCCTTATTTACTTTGGACATTTTCAAAAAAGTCTGCTTTCTTCACAGTTACACACACACACACGTGCGCATGCACACACACACACACACACACACACACATAGCCTTTGAACATAACAAACCACGCAGACAACTCCAAACTCACTCACTACTATAGAATAGGGCTTTATCATCTAAGGGTGAACAAAATACTTGATAAAAGCCCCAAAATCAGTAAGAAGGTTTTTCAAGAGGTTTAGGTGAAAGTTACCAAAGTGCTGGCTGCAAATCCAGAGAGCTAGTCTAAATCTTCTTCTATTGTTCCATTGTTAAATGTCCTGGCCACTTATGTGAACTCAATACTTTTCTCTTTTACCTACTTTCCCGAGGTCTCATTAATCTGAAATTGTCATCTGATAGTCAGTGAAAAAGTTACTTCCTTAATCCCTCTCTCTTCTTGACTATTTTATGCTCATAATATTTTCCAAGCTTTCATAAGTAAGCCAAAGAAACAAAGCACTGGTTCTTTTTTGCCTTTGTATAAAGAAAGAAAACTATTTGAAATAATAAAAACCTGGAAGTGAGAATGAGTAACATAACTGGAAACTTTGGACCTGTAATACCCCATCTGGCGAAGCTGTGAGGGATCTCCAGTATGCCAAATGCCAGTGTTATCTGGCGCTACAAGAGAGACAGATTAGGAGCTTTTGACAGGTGCTGTTAATTTCACAGATATTAATGAAGTCCTAGTTTCCTGCAGAGTTTGGAAAGTTTATCTGAAGGAGATGGTTGTGTAAACATCATGATTTGTTGGGTTCTGTATCTATCATGCTGCTGAATTAGCAGGTAGATGACGTAAACATCTGTCTTTAGGGGGCCCCCTTGGCCCTATGAGTTTAGAATTCCTAGGCAGGAGTGGGGCTAACAGCTGTGAGTTCTCCGGAGACAGTTTCTTTGAGAATCTCTTCTTTCCTGGGCCACTTGGGTCTTTTAGACAAAACTTCATTTCTCCACAAATCAGGAAAAAGTCACTGAGAATCATCTTCAGTTATGGAAGTTTTTGCCATGTAGGGACTTTTTGAAGATTTCCTTAATTCTTTTTGAGTCTGGAGGGATCACTGACTCATCAAACCTGAGTTAAAGCACTCTAGCCTTTCCTGGTGTCGCTCCACTATTCCCAGGTTGGCTTTCTAATCAGGCAACAGCAGCCCAGCAGGTATCTGGGAAATGCTGTCTCAGGAAAAGATGGAAACCTCCGGGGTGACCAGGGCTTTCATTACAGCAAGGAAGAGAGCTGGGGGCAAACCCCTCTCTCCTCCGGAAGGTCTTGCCTAGACAATGATTTCTTACTTAATAAGCAATACAGATGATAAGGACATTTTGCCAGATTCACTTGCAATATTCTGTTACTTCTAAGCATTTTGATTATTTGTCCAATACATGTATGTTCTGTTTGACAACCAAGTCAGTATCCCTCTTTCTAAAGGTCTGGTCACAGTGACATGTACTTGACATATACTTGACATCTAGAAGACAGAATTGGTATTTGTGGGGCAAGTGTCACACATCATTGAATAGAACCTCAAGCTCAGGAGTGAGTTTTTCAGGCAGATGGCAGCATTTTACACCTGAACTACACAGAGTGCTTTTCTCCATGTAGTTCAGAGAGCTTTTCAGGTGACCATAACAAAAAATGAAGACGACACGCAAAGTAAGAAGTCTCTCAATATTTCCACCAATAAAAGAAAGTTATTAGTTTGATCTATTTTCCCTCATTTTTTAAAATTAGCAAGTTTTGTGTTTTTCTCTACATGCTATGATCATCCTGTGGGTATGGAATTATATTTGGCTTTTTAATTTAATATTTTACTATAAAAATTTTCAAGTTTCTTTGACATCTTTGCAGGCATCCTTGTCATTCTTGTATGACATTCTACTGTCTGTAGCTCTATGATCTGGTTTCCTAAAGTCTATAACTACGTATTTAGTCTGTTTCCAACTCCTGCACACTAGAAATAATGCATCTTTAAGATAACTTTTTTTTTTTTTTTTTTTTTTTTTTACAATCTTTTCCAGATTTAGGGATATTGCATCAGACTACATCACCAGAGTATTACAATATTATTAATCAAGTGTTATTCCTATTGGTAAGGTCTTATACATTTAAGGGAAATAACCAAACTTAAAGATAAAGACCTACCCAGGGAGATCGCAATGGTTGGTGCAACAGAAATAAGTTAATGTCATTCTCACATAATATAGGTATACATATTTGTAAGAAAAGCACTGTTTATGACCCAAGGAAAGAAATTGCAAAGGCACAAATTATACAAGATACAAAAAACACAGTTGCAACTAATTGTGGAAAAATGTCCAGCCATGTGAGCAATGTAAGACATTCAAAATAAGATACTATGTAATTGCATTTAAAAGCCAAAACAATATGAAGAAAAACATCAGTGGTTGCCAGGAGTTGGAGTAGGGAAAATCAGAATGAGCATAGGCTGGGTGAAGACAGAGCTGTTCTTCAGCTTGACTGTTCTAGTAGTCACAGAAGTCTGGACTTAAATTCATGGAACTGTACACCAAAGTCAAAAGTGAACTTTACTATATGATAATTTAAAAACCAAAAGAAAAGAAATACATGCAATTGGCATTTTAAGGCATGGATTATAAATACAGAGATTATAAAGTAAAAAGAATATATATGAAAAAGCTGCATATTAAATTAAAATCTTAATCAAAAGTGGCCTCAAATTACTAAAGGGAAATGATCAGATCCTTTAAAAAAAATAAAATAGTTTTGGCTCTGTGGTATTTAAGCTCTTTTGAATATTTACAGTTAGGCAACACAGCTGTGAAAAAATATTAGAAATTAATAATGCATTTTCTTTGAGGCTAAATTAACATTTAAGTCTTAATTTAAATGTAAAAAGTGTTATATTTAAAATATATAATAAAATAAGCTGGGCATCTGGCTTATGCCTGTAATTCCAGTACTTTAGGAGGCTGAGGTGAGCAAAGTACTCGAGACCAGGAGTTCGACACCATCCTGGCCAACGTGGTGAAGCCATCTCTCTACAAAAAAACAAAAATTAGCTGGACATGGTAGGGGGGCATCTGTAATCCCAGCTACTCTGGAGGCTAAGGTAGGATAATCGCTTAAACCTGGGAAGCAGAGGTTGCAGGGAGCCAAGATCACGCCACTACACTCCAGCCTGGGTGACAGAGCAAGATTCAGTTTCAAAAAAAAAAAAAAAGAAAATAAAAAATACATAATAAAAACAATAATATGTTTTTGCCTATGCAATTATCAAATTTTTGAAATGCTCTTACTTAACGTTGGTAAGGACAAAATGAGTCACACACTTTCATACAATGCTGCTGGGTATGTAAATTATCAGAATCCATTCAACAGACACACGTGTGTGTGTGTGTATAAGTACATATTTGTGTGTGTATATGTGTGTATCCATGTGTATGTAAAAATATGTGTAACTGTCTGTCTACATTAAGAGACGAGAAGATGTGTGATGTATATACAAGAAAGAAATTCACATAAACAAGTTTTGTGGGTTCCCTTTTTGTGTTCACAGGGGATGGCAGGGAGAAGGGGGATTTCCCTGAGTATTAAAATAGAAAGGAGAGTTTCTGTATACAAAAATACAAGTGCTGGAATAGCAAGCCTCAGGACTAAGCTTGTGTGATCTGTCCTGTGTGCTCTGCAAATTTTAGTTGGTCTCATCTTCACTCTCCATCCCACATGTGATCTGAGAGACCGAGACAGCTGTCCCTTCATCCACTAAGATGAACTCTAAGGTTCAAGAAACAAAAGTTACCCAGGGGTCGAGGGTTCAGGGCTTGGCTCTGTTATCATAACCTCCTAAATTCCCACAGCTACAGGAAAAAACACACCCTTGTTGGTCTCACTAATAATAGGAGTAATCAGGTGAAGTGTGAGACCCTTCCTAACTGATTTACAACCCAGACCCCTGCAACTCTTACTGGACAGGGGACCATCCTTCCAGGCATTCTTTCCTGACAAGCAACAGCAGACTTCAAGCCGGTTTCAGCAGCTTACAGATGCTGCATACAAAACGTCATTGTGTCCGACAATTTGCCTTCTGATGTAAAGAGCCAAATTTAGCACTTCATTTTAATGTTAAAACTCTGCCTCAGAGTGAACATGGGATGTATGTTACATTTATGTTTACACGTGGCGCATGCACTTAACTCCCCTCACAAATACGGATGGCTTTTCCCTGAAACTTTCTGAACATATCTGACTCTATTGTGTAATATGGACCCTGGGAGGCAGAAAACCAGCCTGCACTTTCCCTCTCTGAAGAGAGAGCACCTTTGGTACCTCTTCCCAGTTTGCAAACTGATACTGCCAGTAAAGCTCTTTTCTACTCTTAGCCATCCTGGTGGTCTTTGTGTAATACATGGCAGTCTCATACTTTACGACAACAATCTGTGTCACACAGTCGTCTCTCTCCTGGATATCTCCAAGGGGACCTTCAACCCACCAGGTCCCATACATAACTCCCCACCTTTCCTTTCAGACTTGCCTCTTGTTTCATTTTGCCAGCTCAGTGCTTCATGCTGTGACGCTCAGCCTCACCCGCGGCTTCGACTTCACCCTTCCCCTCATGTCCCACAACGCGCCTGCTTCATCTCCTGCTCCACCAATTCTGCATCACGTCTCTCGTGACTCACTGCAGCATCTTACCCTGCCTCCTCTGTCCAGCCTTGGTCACCTCTCCATCTCCATCAAGTCTCCACACTCTAGCCTGAGCGATCTTAGGGTCTTGCAAACTGCTGCTGTTTCTCCAATGTGCCATAGGTTTCTCAGCTTTGGACTTCTA